GGGGGAGGAGTGGGGTTGGTGGGGTTGGTGGGTTGGTGGGTGGAGTTGGTGGGTGGGTGGTGGGTGGGTGGTGGGTGGGGACCTACCAAACAGGTTAAAGAGTCTTTGAGGAGTGATCATCTTTAGCAGAGAGAGGGGGGAGGAGTGGGGTTGGTGGGGTTGGTGGGTTGGTGGGTGGAGTTGGTGGGTGGGTGGTGGGTGGGTGGTGGGTGGGGACCTACCAAACAGGTTAAAGAGTCTTTGAGGAGTGATCATCTTTAGCAGACGAGAGGGGGGAGGAGTGGGGTTGGTGGGGTTGGTGGGTTGGTGGGTGGAGAGTTGGTGGGTGGGTGGTGGGTGGGTGGTGGGTGGGGACCTACCAAACAGGTTAAAGAGTCTTTGAGGAGTGATCATCTTTAGCAGAGAGAGGGGGGAGGAGCGAGGTGGGTGGGGTTGGTGGGTGGGTGGAGTTGGTGGGTGGGTGGTGGGTGGGTGGTGGGTGGTGACCTACCAAACAGGTTAAAGAGTCTTTGAGGAGTGATCATCTTTAGCAGAGAGAGGGGGAGGAGCGGGGTGGGTGGGGTTGGTGGTGGGTTGGTGGTGGGGTTGGTGGTGGGTGGGTGGGGTTGGTGGGTGGGTGGTGGGTGGGGAGTGTTGACCTACCAAACAGGTTAAAGAGTCTTTGAGGAGTGATCATCTTTAGAAGAGAGAGGGAGGAGGAGCGGGGTGGGTGGGGTTGGTGGGTGGGGTTGGTGGGTGGGTGGAGTTGGTGGGTGGGTGGTGGGTGGGTGGTGGGTGGGGACCTACCAAACAGGTTAAAGAGTCTTTGAGGAGTGATCATCTTTAGCAGAGAGAGGGGGGAGGAGTGGGGTTGGTGGGTTGGTGGGTTGGTGGGTGGAGTTGGTGGGTGGGTGGTGGGTGGGTGGTGGGTGGGGACCTACCAAACAGGTTAAAGAGTCTTTGAGGAGTGATCATCTTTAGCAGAGAGAGGGGGGAGGAGTGGGGTTGGTGGGGTTGGTGGGTTGGTGGGTGGAGTTGGTGGGTGGGTGGTGGGTGGGTGGTGGGTGGGGACCTACCAAACAGGTTAAAGAGTCTTTGAGGAGTGATCATCTTTAGCAGAGAGAGGGGGGAGGAGTGGGGTTGGTGGGGTTGGTGGGTTGGTGGGTGGAGTTGGTGGGTGGGTGGTGGGTGGTGGGTGGGGACCTACCAAACAGGTTAAAGAGTCTTTGAGGAGTGATCATCTTTAGCAGAGAGAGGGGGAGGAGCGAGGGTGGGTGGGGTTGGTGGGTGGGTGGAGTTGGTGGGTGGGTGGTGGGTGGGTGGTGGGTGGTGACCTACCAAACAGGTAAAGAGTCTTTGAGGAGTGATCATCTTTAGCAGAGAGAGGGGGGGAGGAGCGGGGTGGGTGGGGTTGGTGGGTGGGTTGGTGGGGGGGTTGGTGGGTGGGTGGGGTTGGTGGGTGGGTGGTGGGTGGGGAGTGTTGACCCTACCAAACAGGTTAAAGAGTCTTTCGAGGAGTGATCATCTTTAGAAGAGAGAGGGAGGAGGAGCGGGGGGGGTGGTGGGTTGGTGGTTGGGGTTGGTGGGTGGGTGGAGTTGGTGGGTGGGTGGTGGGTGGGTGGTGGGTGGGGACCTACCAAACAGGTTAAAGAGTCTTTGAGGAGTGATCATCTTTAGCAGAGAGAGGGGGGAGGAGTGGGGTTGGTGGGGTTGGTGGGTTGGTGGGTGGAGTGGTGGGTGGAGTTGGTGGGTGGAGTTGGTGGGTGGGTGGTGGGTGGGTGGTGGGTGGGGACCTACCAAACAGGTTAAAGAGTCTTTGAGGAGTGATCATCTTTAGCAGAGAGAGGGGGAGGAGTTGGGTTGGTGGGTGGGGTTGGTGGGTTGGTGGGTGGAGTTGGTGGGTGGGTGGTGGGTGGGTGGTGGGTGGGGGACCTACCAAACAGGTTAAAGAGTCTTTGAGGAGTGATCATCTTTAGCAGAGAGAGGGGGGAGGAGTGGGGTGGGTGGGGTTGGTGGGTGGGTGGAGTTGGTGGGTGGGTGGTGGGTGGGTGGTGGGTGGGGACCTACCAAACAGGTTAAAGAGTCTTTGAGGAGTGATCATCTTTAGCAGAGAGAGGGGGGAGGAGTGGGGTTGGTGGGGTGGGTGGGGTTGGTGGGTGGAGTTGGTGGGTGGAGTTGGTGGGTGGGTGGTGGGTGGGTGGTGGGTGGGGACCTACCAAACAGGTTAAAGAGTCTTTGAGGAGTGATCATCTTTAGCAGAGAGAGGGGGGAGGAGTGGGGTTGGTGGGTGGGGTTGGTGGGGTTGGTGGGTGGAGTTGGTGGGTGGGTGGTGGGTGGGTGGTGGGTGGGGACCTACCAAACAGGTTAAAGAGTCTTTGAGGAGTGATCATCTTTAGCAGAGAGAGGGGGGAGGAGTGGGGTTGGTGGGGTGGGTGGGGTTGGTGGGTGGAGTTGGTGGGTGGAGTTGGTGGGTGGGTGGTGGTGGGGTGGTGGGTGGGGACCTACCAAACAGGTTAAAGAGTCTTTGAGGAGTGATCATCTTTAGCAGAGAGAGGGGGGAGGAGTGGGGTTGGTGGGTGGGGTTGGTGGGGTTGGTGGGTGGAGTTGGTGGGTGGGTGGTGGGTGGGTGGTGGGTGGGGACCTACCAAACAGGTTAAAGAGTCTTTGAGGAGTGATCATCTTTAGCAGAGAGAGGGGGGAGGAGTGGGGTTGGTGGGGTTGGTGGGTTGGTGGGTGGAGTTGGTGGGTGGGTGGTGGGTGGGTGGTGGGTGGGGACCTACCAAACAGGTTAAAGAGTCTTTGAGGAGTGATCATCTTTAGCAGAGAGAGGGGGGAGGAGCGGGGTGGGTGGGTTGGTGGGTGGGGTTGGTGGGTGGGTGGAGTTGGTGGGTGGGGTTGGTGGGTGGGTGGTGGGTGGGTGGTGGGTGGGGACCTACCAAACAGGTTAAAGAGTCTTTGAGGAGTGATCATCTTTAGCAGAGAGAGGGGGGAGGAGTTGGGTTGGTGGGTGGGGTTGGTGGGTTGGGGGTGGAGTTGGTGGGTGGGTGGTGGGTGGGGTGGTGGGTGGGGACCTACCAAACAGGTTAAAGAGTCTTTGAGGAGTGATCATCTTTAGCAGAGAGAGGGGGGAGGAGTGGGGTGGGTGGGGTTGGTGGGGTGGTGGAGTTGGTGGGTGGGTGGTGGGTGGGTGGTGGGTGGGGACCTACCAAACAGGTTAAAGAGTCTTTGAGGAGTGATCATCTTTAGCAGAGAGAGGGGGGAGGAGTGGGGTGGGTGGGGTTGGTGGGTGGGTGGAGTTGGTGGGTGGGTGGTGGGTGGGTGGTGGGTGGGGACCTACCAAACAGGTTAAAGAGTCTTTGAGGAGTGATCATCTTTAGCAGAGAGAGGGGGGGAGGAGTGGGGTGGGTGGGGTTGGTGGGTTGGTGGGTGGAGTTGGTGGGTGGGTGGTGGGTGGGTGGTGGGTGGGGACCTACCAAACAGGTTAAAGAGTCTTTGAGGATGTGATCATCTTTAGCAGAGAGAGGGGGGAGGAGTGGGGTTGGTGGGGTTGGTGGGTGGGTGGAGTTGGTGGGTGGGTGGTGGGTGGGTGGTGGGTGGGGACCTACCAAACAGGTTAAAGAGTCTTTGAGGAGTGATCATCTTTAGCAGAGAGAGGGGGGAGGAGTGGGGTGGGTGGGGTTGGTGGGTTGGTGGGTGGAGTTGGTGGGTGGGTGGTGGGTGGGTGGTGGGTGGGGACCTACCAAACAGGTTTAAAGAGTCTTTGAGGAGTGATCATCTTTAGCAGAGAGAGGGGGGAGGAGTGGGGTGGGTGGGGTTGGTGGGTTGGTGGGTGGAGTTGGTGGGTGGGTGGTGGGTGGGTGGTGGGTGGGGACCCTACCAAACAGGTTAAAGAGTCTTTGAGGAGTGATCATCTTTAGCAGAGAGAGGGGGGAGGAGTGGGGTGGGTGGGTTGGTGGGTTGGTGGGTGGAGTTGGTGGGTGGGTGGTGGGTGGGTGGTGGGTGGGGACCTACCAAACAGGTTAAAGAGTCTTTGAGGAGTGATCATCTTTAGCAGAGAGAGGGGGGAGGAGTGGGTTGGTGGGGTTGGTGGGTGTGGTGGGTGGGTGGGTGGGTGGTGGGTGGGTGGGTGGTGGGTGGGTGGAGTTGGTGGGTGGGTGGTGGTGGGTGGGTGGAGTTGGTGGGTGGGTGGTGGGTGGGGACCTACCAAACAGGTTAAAGAGTCTTTGAGGAGTGATCATCTTTAGCAGAGAGAGGGGGGAGGAGTGGGGTTGGTGGGTGGGGTTGGTGGGGTTGGTGGGTGGAGTTGGTGGGTGGGTGGTGGGTGGGTGGTGGGTGGGACCTACCAAACAGGTTAAAGAGTCTTTGAGGAGTGATCATCTTTAGCAGAGAGAGGGGGGAGGAGTGGGGTTGGTGGGGTTGGTGGGTTGGTGGGTGGAGTTGGTGGGTGGGTGGTGGGTGGGTGGTGGGTGGGGACCTACCAAACAGGTTAAAGAGTCTTTGAGGAGTGATCATCTTTAGCAGAGAGAGGGGGGAGGAGTGGGGTTGGTGGGGTTGGTGGGTTGGTGGGTGGAGTTGGTGGGTGGGTGGTGGGTGGGTGGTGGGTGGGGACCTACCAAACAGGTTAAAGAGTCTTTGAGGAGTGATCATCTTTAGCAGAGAGAGGGGGGAGGAGTGGGGTTGGTGGGGTTGGTGGGTTGGTGGGTGGAGTTGGTGGGTGGGTGGTGGGTGGGTGGTGGTGGGGACCTACCAAACAGGTTAAAGAGTCTTTGAGGAGTGATCATCTTTAGCAGAGAGAGGGGGGAGGAGTGGGGTTGGTGGGGTTGGTGGGTTGGTGGGTGGAGTTGGTGGGTGGGTGGTGGGTGGGTGGTGGGTGGGGACCTACCAAACAGGTTAAAGAGTCTTTGAGGAGTGATCATCTTTAGCAGAGAGAGGGGGGAGGAGTTGGGTTGGTGGGTGGGGTTGGTGGGTTGGTGGGTGGAGTTGGTGGGTGGGTGGTGGGTGGGTGGTGGGTGGGGACCTACCAAACAGGTTAAAGAGTCTTTGAGGAGTGATCATCTTTAGCAGAGAGAGGGGGGAGGAGTGGGGAGACGCCACAGAGAGACCGAGCCGAGCGGTGGAGCGCCGGCGATCACCACCAAATCCCACCAATCACCAGCGCCGGTGGGGGGTGGTAGGGGGAGACACGGAGAGAGACACGGAGAGAGACACGGAGAGAGACACGGGGAGACAGAGAGACACGGGGAGATACAGAGAGACACGGAGAGAGACACGGAGAGACACGGAGAGAGGACACGGAGAGAGACACGGAGAGAGACACGGAGAGACACGGGGGGGAGACACGGAGAGACAGAGAGACACGGGGAGATACAGAGAGGACACGGAGAGATAGAGAGAGACACGGAGGAGATAGAGAGAGATACAGAGAGACACGGGGGACACGCGGGGACACAGAGAGACACGGAGAGATAGAGAGAGATACAGAGAGACACGGAGAGATAGAGAGAGATACAGAGAGACACGGAGAGATAGAGAGAGATACAGAGAGACACGGAGAGATAGAGAGAGATACAGAGAGACACGGAGAGATGAGAGAGATACAGAGAGACACGGAGAGATAGAGAGAGATACAGAGAGACACGGAGAGATAGAGAGAGATACAGAGAGACACGGAGAGATAGAGAGAGATACAGAGAGACACGGAGAGATAGAGAGAGATACAGAAAGACACGGAGAGATAGAGAGAGATACAGAGAGACACGGAGAGATAGAGAGAGATACAGAGAGACACGGAGAGATAGAGAGAGATACAGAGAGACACGGAGAGATGAGAGAGATACAGAGAGACACGGAGAGATAGAGAGAGATACAGAGAGACACGGAGAGATAGAGAGAGATACAGAGAGACACGGAGAGATAGAGATACAGAGAGACACGGAGAGATAGAGAGAGATACAGAGAGACACGGAGAGATAGAAAGAGATACAGAGAGACACGGAGAGACACGGGGGACACGCGGGGACACAGAGAGACACGGAGAGATACGGAGAGAAAGAGAGAGACACAGAGAGACACGGAGAGATACAGAGAGACACAGAGACACACGGAGAGATCCGGAGAGATAGAGAGACACGGAGAGATAGAGAGAGACACAGAGAGACAGGGGGGGACACGCGGGGACACGAGGGGACACGGAGAGACAGAGAGACACAGAGACACACGGAAAGATACGGAGAGACACAGAGAGACACAGAGAGATACAGAGAGATACGGAGAGACACAGAGAGAGACACAGAGAGACACGGAGAGACACGGAGAGATACAGAGACACACCGAGAGATACGGAGAGACAGAGAGACACGGAGAGACACGGAGAGATACAGAGAGACACGGAGAGATACAGAGAGACACGGAGAGACACGAGAGACACGGAGAGACACGAGAGACACGGAGAGACAGAGAGACACGGAGAGATACAGAGAGACACAGAGAGACACAGGGAGAGACACAGAGACACACGAAGACACACGGAGACACACGGAGACACACGAAGACACACGGAGACACACAGAGAGACACAGAGAGACACGGAGAGACACACGAAGAGACACAGAGACACACGGAGAGACACGGAGAGACACGGAGAGACACAGAGACACACAGAGACATACAGAGAGACACGGAGAGACACGGAGAGACACAGAGAGACACGGAGAGACACAGAGACACACAGAGAGACACAGAGAGAGACACGGAGACAGGGAGAGACACGGAGAGACACAGAGAGACACAGAGACACACAGAGAGACACAGAGAGACACAGAGAGACACGAAGAGACACAGAGACACACAGAGAGACACAGAGAGACACGGAGACAGGGAGAGCACACGGAGAGACACAGAGAGACACGGAGAGACACAGAGACACGGAGAGACAGAGAGACATGGAGACACACGACAGACACGGAGACACACAGAGAGACACACAGAGAGAGACACAGAGAGAGACACGGAGAGACACGAAGACACACGGAGACACACGAGAGACACACGGAGACACACGGAGAGACACGGAGAGACACGAAGACACACAGAGAGAGACACGGAGACAGGGAGAGTCACAGAGAGAGACACGGAGACAGGGAGACACACACGGAGAGACACGGAGAGACACGAAGACACACAGAGGGGTGAACTCCAAGACAAATTAACTTTTCACAAAGCTCGGTTAGATAACAGAGCTAGGATGGTCAGTGGTGGTGAGTGGTGGTGGTGAGTGGTGGTGGTGAGTGGTGGTGGTGGTGAGTGGTGGTGAGTGGTGGTGGTGAGTGATGGTGGTGAGTGGTGGTCAGTGGTGGTGGTGAGTGGTGGTGAGTGGTGGTGGGTGGTGGTGGTGGTGGTGAGTGGTGGTGATGAGTGGTGGTGGAGTGTGGTGGTGAGTGGTGGTGGTGAGTGGTGGTGGTGAGTGGTGGTGAGTGGTGGTGAGTGGTGGTGGTGAGTGGTGGTGGTGGTGAGTGGTGGTGGTGAGTGGTGGTGGTGAGTGGTGGTGAGTGGTGGTGGTGAGTGGTGGTGGTGAGTGGTGGTGGTGAGTGGTGGTGGTGAGTGGTGGTGGTGAGTGGTGGTGAGTGGTGGTGGTGGTGAGTGGTGGTGGTGGTGAGTGGTGGTGAGTGGTGGTGGTGGTGAGTGGTGGTGGTGAGTGGTGGGGTGAGTGAGTGGTGGTGAGTGGTGGTGGTGAGGTGAGTGGTGGTGGTGAGTGGTGGTGAGTGATGGTGGTGGGTGGTGAGTGGTGTGGTGAGTGGTGGTGAGTGGTGGTGAGTGGTGGTGGTGGTGAGTGGTGAGTGGTGGTGAGTGGTGGTGAGTGGTGGTGGTGGTGAGTGGTGGTGGTGAGTGGTGGTGAGTGGTGGTGGTGGTGAGTGGTGGTGGTGAGTGGTGGTGGTGGTGAGTGGTGGTGGTGAGTGGTGGTGGTGGTGAGTGGTGGTGGTGAGTGGTGGTGGTGAGTGGTGGTGGTGAGTGGTGGTGAGTGGTGGTGGTGGTGAGTGGTGGTGTGAGGGTGGTGGTGGTGAGTGGTGGTGGTGATTGGTGGTGGTGAGTGGTGTGAGTGGTGGTGGTGAGTGGTGGTTAGTGGTGGTGGTGAGTGGTGGTGGTGAGTGGTGGTGGTGGTGAGTGGTGGTGAGTGGTGGTGGTGAGTGGTGGTGAGTGGTGGTGGTGAGTGGTGGTGGTGAGTGGTGGTGGGTGGTGGTGGTGAGTGGTGGTGAGTGGTGGTGAGTGGTGGTGGTGAGTGGTGGTGAGTGGTGGTGGTGAGTGGTGGTGGTGGTGGTGGTGGTGAGTGGTGGTGGTGAGTGGTGGTGGTGAGTGGTGTGGTGAGTGGTGGTGGTGAGTGGTGGTGAGTGGTGGTGGTGGTGAGTGGTGGTGGTAGGTGGTGGTGAGTGGTGGTGGTAGGTGGTGGTGGTGAGCATAGTGGTGAGTGGTGGTGGGTGGTGGTGGTGAGTGGTGGTAGGAGTGATGGTGGTGAGTGGTGGTGGTGAATGTGGTGGTGGTGAGTGGTGGTGAGTGGTGGTGGTGAGTGGTGGTGAGTGGTGGTGGTGAGCGGTGTGGTGAGTGGTGGTGAGTGGTGGTGGTGAGTGGTGGTGGTGAGTGGTGGTGAGTGGTGGTGGTGAGTGGTGGTGGTGAGTGGTGGTGAGTGGTGGTGGGAGTGGAGGTGGTGAGTGGTGGTGGTGAGTGGTGGTGGTAGGTGGTGGTGGTGGTGAGGTGGTGTGGTGGTGTGGTGGTTGAGTGGTGGTGGTGAGTGGTGGTGGTGAGTGGTGGTGAGTGGTGGTGGTGGTGGTGGTAGGGTGGTGAGTGGTGGTGGTGAGTGGTGGTGGTGAGTGGTGGTGAGTGGTGGTGAGTGGTGGTGGTGAGTGGGGGTGGTGGTGAGTGGTGGGGTGAGTGGTGGTGGTGAGTGGTGGTGGGTGGTGGTGAGTGGTGTGGTGAGTGGTGGTGGTGAGTGGTGGTGGTGAGTGGTGGTGAGTGGTGGTGGTGGTGAGTGGTGGTGGTGGTGAGTGGTGGTGAGTGGTGGTGGTGGTGAGTGGTGGTGAGTGGTGGTGGTGAGTGGTGGTGGTGAGTGAGGTGGTGAGTGGTGGTGGTGAGTGGTGAGTGGTGGTGGTGAGTGGTGGTGAGTGATGGTGGTGGGTGGTGAGGGTGGTGGTGAGTGGTGGTGAGTGGTGGTGGTGGTGAGTGGTGAGTGGTGGTGAGTGGTGGTGAGTGGTGGTGGTGGTGAGTGGTGGTGGTGAGTTGTAGTGAGTGGTGGTGGTGTGGTGGTGGTGGTGAGTGGTGGTGGTGAGTGGTGGTGAGTGGTGGTGGTGAGTGGTGGTGGTGAGTGGTGGTGGTGAGTGGTGGTGAGTGGTGGTGGTGGTGAGTGGTGGTGGTGAGTGGTGGTGGTGGTGAGTGGTGGTGGTGATTGGTGGTGGTGAGTGGTGGTGAGTGGTGGTGGTGAGTGGTGGTTAGTGGTGGTGGTGAGTGGTGGTGGTGAGTGGTGGTGGTGGTGAGTGGTGGTGAGTGGGTGGTGGTGAGTGGTGGTGAGTGGTGGTGGTGAGTGGTGGTGGTGAGTGGTGGTGGGTGTGGTGGTGAGTGGTGGTGAGTGGTGGTGAGTGGTGGTGGTGAGTGGTGGTGAGTGGTGGTGGTGAGTGGTGGTGGTGAGTGGTGGTGGTGAGTGGTGGTGGTGAGTGGTGGTGGTGAGTGGTGGTGAGTGGTGGTGAGTGGTGGTGGTGGTGAGTGGTGGTGGTAGGTGGTGGTGAGTGGTGGTGGTTGGTGGTGGTGGTGAGTGGTGGTGGTGAGTGGTGGTGAGTGGTGGTGGTGAGTGGTGGTAGTGAGTGATGGTGGTGAGTGGTGGTGGTGAATGGTGGTGGTGGTGAGTGGTGGTGAGTGGTGGTGGTGAGTGGTGGTGAGTGGTGGTGGTGAGTGGTGGTGGTGAGTGGTGGTGAGTGGTGGTGAGTGGTGGTGGTGAGTGGTGGTGGTGAGTGGTGGTGAGTGGTGGTGGTGAGTGGTGGTGGTGAGTGGTGGTGAGTGGTGGTGGTGGTGAGTGGAGGTGGTGAGTGGTGGTGGTGAGTGGTGGTGGTAGGTGGTGGTGGTGGTGAGTGGTCGGGGGTGGTGGTGAGTGGTGGTGAGTGGTGGTGGTGAGTGGTGGTGGTGAGTGGTGGTGAGTGGTGGTGAGTGGTGGTGGTGAGTGGTGGTGGTGAATGGTGGTGGTGGGTGGTGAGTGGTGGTGTGGGTGGTGGTGAGTGGTGGTGAGTGGTGGTGGTGAGTGGTGGTGAGTGGTGGTGGTGAGTGGTGGTGAGTGGTGGCGAGTGGTGGTGAGTGGTGGTGGTGGTGGTGAGTGGTGGCGAGTGGTGGTGGTGGTGAGTGGTGGTGAGTTGTGGTGAGTGGTGGTGAGTGGTGAGTGGTTGTGGTGGAGTGGTGGTGGTGAGTTGGTGGTGGTGAGTAGTGGTGAGTAGTGGTGGTGGTGAGTGGTCGGTGTTGAGTGGGGTGGTGAGTGGTGGTGGTGAGTGGTGGTGGTGAGTGGTGGTGGTGAGTGGTGGTGGTGAGTGGTGAGTAGTGGTGGTGGTGAGTGGTGGTGTTGAGTGGTGAGTGGTGGTGAGTGGTGGTGAGTGGTGGTGGTGAGTGGTGGTGGTGAGTGGTGGTGATGGTGGTGGTGAGTGGTGGTGAGTGGTGGTGGTGAGTGGTGGTGAGTGGTGGTGGTGAGTGGTGGTGAGTGGTGGTGGTGAGTGGTGGTGGTGAGTGGTGGTGGTGGTGAGTGGTGGAGGTGAGTGGTGGTGGTGAGTGGTGAGTGGTGGTGGTGTGAGTGGTGGTGGTGGTGAGTGGTGGTGGTGAGTGGTGGTGAGTGGTGGTGAGTGGTGAGTGGTGGTGGTGAGTGGTGGTGGTGGTGAGGGGTGGTGGTGAGTGGTGGTGCGCGGTGGTGAGTGGTGAGTGGTGGTGAGTGGTGGTGGTAGGTGGTGGTGGTGAGTGGTGGTGGCGGTGAGTGGTGGTGGTGAGTGGTGGTGGTGAGTGGTGGTGTGAGTGGTGGTGGTAGGTGGTGAGTGGTGGTAGGTGGTGAGTGGTGGTGAGTGGTGGTGGTGGTGATGGTGGTGGAGTGGTGGTGAGTTGTAGTGAGTGTGTGGTGGTGTAGTGTGGTGGTGTGGTGGTGGTGAGTTGTGGTGGTGAGTGGTTGTGGTGAGTGGTGGTGAGTTGTAGTGAGTGGTGGTGGTGTAGTGGTGGTGGTGAGTGGTAGTGGTGAGTGGTTGGTGGTGATGAGTTGTAGTGGTGGTGAGTGGTGGTGGTGAGTGGTGGTGAGTGGTGAGTGGTGGTGGTGAGTGGTGGTGGTGAGTGGTGGTGAGTGGTGGTGAGTGGTGAGTGGTTGTGGTGAGTGGTAGTGGTGAGTGGTGTAGTGGTGGTGGTGAGTGAGTGGTGGTGGTGAGTGGTTGGTGGTGGTGGTGATGAGTTGTAGTGGTGGTGAGTGGTGGTGGTGAGTGGTGGTGGTGAGTGGTGAGTGGTTGTGGTGAGTGGTAGTGATGAGTTGTAGTGAGTGGTGGTGGTGAGTTGTGGTGGTGAGTGGTTGTGGTGAGTGGTGGTGATGAGTTGTAGTGGTGGTGAGTGGTGGTGGTGAGTTGTGGTGGTGAGTGGTGAGTGGTAGTGATGAGTTGTAGTGGTGGTGGTGAGTGAGTGGTGGTGGTGAGTGAGTGGTGGTGGTGGTGATGAGTTGTAGTGGTGGTGAGTTGTGGTGGTGAGTTGTGGTGGTGGTGAGTGTAGTGATGAGTTGTAGTGGTGGTGAGGGATGAGTCCCCGCCCCTCAGCCTCCCCCACCCCCCAGCCCCCCCCAGCCCCCCCCCCCCCAGCCCCCCCCCAGCCCCCCCCCCCGCCCCTCACCTCTGGGTCCAGGTTACTGACGAGCAGCACCGGGCTGGTCACGGATCCATCCAGCAGTGGAGTTTGTCCGCTCAGAGGGAGCCCCATGGCCATGGAGGACCCCATTGGCATTTGAGACATCGCTGAGGCGATGCAGACACGGGGGGACACGCCCACAGAGACACGGACACGCCCACAGAGACACGGACACGCCCACAGAGCACGGGGGACACGCCCACAGAGACACGGGGGACACGCCCACAGAGGCACGGGGGACACGCCCACAGAGACACGGGGGACACGCCCACAGAGGCACGGGGGACACGCCCACAGAGGCCCGGGGGACACGCCCACAGAGACACGGACACGCCCAGAGGCACGGGGGACACGCCCACAGAGACACGGACACGCCCACAGAGACACGGGGGACACACCCACAGAGACACGGGGGACACGCCCACAGAGGCACGGACACGCCCACAGAGGCACGGGGGACACGCCCACAGAGACACGGACACGCCCACAGAGACACGGGGGACACACCCACAGAGACACGGGGACACGCCCACAGAGGCACGGACACGCCCACAGAGGCACGGGGGACACGCCCACAGAGACACGGACACGCCCAGAGGCACGGGGGACACGCCCACAGAGACACAGACACGCCCACAGAGACACAGACACGCCCACAGAGACACAGACACGCCCACAGAGACACAGACACGCCCACAGAGACACGGGGGACACGCCCACAGAGACACGGGGGACACGCCCACAGAGACACGGGGGACACGCCCACAGAGACACGGGGGACACGCCCACAGAGGCACGGGGGACACGCCCACAGAGCCACGGGGGACACGCCCACAGAGACACAGACACGCCCACAGAGGCACAGGGGACACGCCCAGAGACACGGACACGCCCACAGAGGCATGGGGGACACGCCCACAGAGCCATGGACACGCCCACAGAGACACGGGGGACACGCCCACAGAGACACAGGGGGACACGCCCAGAGACACGGGGGACACGCCCACAGAGACACGGGGGACACGCCCACAGAGACACAGACATGCCCAGAGACACAGACACGCCCACAGAGACACAGACACGCCCACAGAGACACGGACACGCCCACAGAGACACGGACACGCCCACAGAGACACAGACACGCCCACAGAGACACAGACACGCCCAGAGGCACGGGGGACACGCCCACAGAGACACGGACACGCCCACAGAGACACAGACACGCCCACAGACACAGACACGCCCACAGACACAGACACGCCCACAAAAACAGACACGCCCACAGAGACACGGGGGACACGCCCACAGAGACACGGGGGACACGCCCACAGAGACACGGGGGACACGCCCACAGAGACACGGGGGACACGCCCACAGAGACACGGGGGACACGCCCACAGAGACACGGGGGACACGCCCACAGAGACACGGGGGACACGCCCACAGAGACACGGGGGACACGCCCACAGAGACACGGGGGACACGCCCACAGAGACACGGGGGACACGCCCACAGAGACACGGGGGACACGCCCACAGAGACACGGGGGACACGCCCACAGACACAGACACGCCCACAGAGCCACGGGGGACACGCCCACAGAGGCACGGGGGACACGCCCACAGAGACACGGGGGACACGCCCACAGAGACACGGGGGACACGCCCACAGAGACACGGGGGACACGCCCACAGAGACACGGGGGACACGCCCACAGAGACATGGGGGACACGCCCACAGAGACACGGGGGACACGCCCACAGAGACACGGGGGACACGCCCACAGACACGGGGGACACGCCCACAGAGACACGGGGGACACGCCCAGAGACACAGCGGACACGCCCACAGAGACACAGACACGCCCACAGAGACACGCCCACAGAGACACGCCCACAGAGACACGCCCACAGAGACACGCCCACAGAGACACGCCCACAGAGACAGACACGCCCACAGAGACAGGCCCACAGAGACACGCCCACAGAGACACGCCCACAGAGACACGCCCACAGAGACACGCCCACAGAGACACGCCCACAGAGACACGCCCACAGAGACACGGACACGCCCACAGAGACACGGACACGCCCACAGAGACACAGACACGCCCACAGAGACACAGACACGCCCACAGAGACACAGACACGCCCACAGAGACACGCCCACAGAGACACGCCCACAGAGACACGGACACGCCCACAGAGACACGGAAACGCCCAGACACAAACACGCCCACAGAGACACGGACACAGACAGACACGCCCCCAGAGACACAAACACGCCACAGACACACCCAGAGACACAGACACGCCCACAGAGACACGGACACGCCCACAGACATGCCCAGAGAGACACGTGACACGCCACAGAGACACAGACACGCCCACAGAGAACACCAATGACAAAGATCCCCCGTGTAGCCTCTAAAGGACTTTCTCACCCACCCACTCAACCACCACACACCCACCCCACCCACCCACTCACCCACCCACCCACTCACCCACCCACCCACACACTCAACCACCCACCCACTCAACACCCACCCACTCAACCACCCCACCCACTCAACCACTCACCAACTCAACCACCCACCCACTCACCACTCACCCGCCCACCAACTCAACCACCCACCCACTCAGACACCCACCAACTCATCACTCACTCAACCACCCACCCACCCACTCAACCCACCCACCCACTCACCCACCCACCCCACCCAACACATTCACCCACCAACTCACTCACTCACCCGTTTGGGGAGCGTTCCCATAGTGGGGAGGACTTGAGGAAGGGTTCCGAGTAGGCAGCTGAGGCTGGCGTTCCTACTCACACAGCGGCAGAGAGAGAGAGAGAGAGGTGACCCGTGGCAGCCTCAACAGACTCAAGGGGCAAGCTGCGGTGGCGAACACCAACTCACCCACACGCTCACCCCACACACATCACCCCACACACTCACCCACACACTCACCCACACACTCACCCACACGCTCACCCACACACACTCACCCCACACACTCACCCCACACACTCACCCCACACACTCACCCACACACTCACCCACATACTCACCCCACACGCTCACCACACGCTCACCCACACACTCACCCACACGCTCACCCACACGCTCACCCCACACACTTCACCACACACTCACCCACTCACCCACAACACTCACGCACCTACCAACTCACCCACACACTCACCACACACTCACCCACACACTCACCCACCACACTCACCCACACACTCACCCACACACTCACCCACACACTCACCAACACACCACCACGCAACAACAACATCCGCCATTCGCCATTAAGTGGCGGTGACGTCACCACGACGCTTGTGCCAGGCCACAGACACACAGACACACACACACAGACACACACACATAGACACACACACATAGACACATATATAGACACACACAGACACACACACATAGGACACACAGATACACACAACAACCGCCATTCGCCACTAAGTGGCCGGTGACGTCACCACGACGCTTGTGCCAGGCCACAGACACACAGACACCACACATAGGACACACACACATAGACACACACACATAGACACCACACACATAAGCACACATATAGACACACACACACATAAGCACACAGACACACACAGCGACACACACAACAACAACAACCACCGCCATTCGCCACTAAGTGGGGGTGACGTCACCATGACGCTTGTGCCAGGCTATGTGCACCTTGAGGCTACCACGTGAAATGTCGAACGCCCGCTGGCAGGAGGTCACGGGGCAGACCCAGCAGGTGCCACGGGTCGACTGACTGAGATGACTGGCTGATGCACCACCTGTGCCCCCCTACTGTGCCAACCTGCTGCGCTCTTACCCACCCCCCGGCGCTCCGCTCGTTGTTGTGAGCGTCGCTCCGCTCCGCCTTCCTTGCAAGAAGGTTTCAGTTTTGTTGCCAGAAAAAAGTGGGAAAACCCGCCATCATCATTATTATTATCATCATCATCATCATATTATTTTGGTACCGGCAAAGGAGGTCTAAATGATGAAGACGCTTAACCCGTGCCCTCATTACTCTGATGGTGGCGCTTGTCCTGAGCTGTGCAACGCCTTTTGGCGTCAACCTGGCCCTCGGCCTACGTTTGAGACGAGGCCTCAAAAGGGAAAGCCACCTCTGGCTTGTGGACCAAATCGGTTTCAAGGACAATGCAGCAGCAGCAGCAGCAGCAGCATCAGGCATCATCATCATCATGGGCATATTATCAGAGTTGTGTTGTTTTTCTGTTCGCATTTTTAACCGCCGAGTATTGCGGTTGATGCGGTAAGAGGATTTCCTCGCGAAAAAACAAAGTCTCAGTTTTTGTTGCCAGGAAAAGTGTGAACGAAAACCCGCCCCCATTATTATAATAATAATTATACTTTTGGGTACCGGCAAAGGAGGTCTCTCCAACGATGAAGCCGGTTGGGGGCCTGCCGGTACCATGGTCGAAAGGGGCTCTCGGGGAATAGCCGTCGGGGGGGGGAAATGGCCGGAAAGATCCGGAAAGGTGGGCCGGGCCGACATGGCCTTGTATCCGCGCGGGAGCGGAACCCCAGCTCGTGGTCCGGACCGGGATAGCGTTACCGTGGATAGTTCCTGCCCGTAGCGTGGCTAGATGGGCGCTCAACACCCGCTTGCTGGTTACGTTTTTGCGTGTCGAGCTGGCGAAATAAAAATGGTGTTGCTCCCAAGACAGCGTCTTCGACTCGGCTGGACTCGGTACACACGGCTATACACACAAACACACACACACCGCTAACACCACACACACCGCTAACCCACACACACACACACCGCTAACCCACACACACACCGCTAACCCACACACACACACACCGCTAACCCACACACACACACAAACCGCTAACCCACACACACACCGCTAACCCACACACACACCGCTAACCCACACACACACCGCTAACCCACACACCCACCTACACACCCCCCACACACCCCACACACACACCTACCCACACACACCCACACACACACCACTACCCGCACCACTACCCACACACACACAACCACCTACCCACACACACACACAACCACCCACCCACTCAACCACCTACCCACACACACCACTACCCACACACACACCACTACCCACACACAACAACAACCGCCCATTTGCCACTAAGTGGCTGGTTGACGTCACCACGACGCTTGTGCCAGGCTATGTGCACCCTGAGGCCACGTGAACAGTGTCGAACGCCCGCTGGCAGGAGGTCACGGGGCAGACCCAGGTGCCAGGGTCGACTGACTGAGATGACTGGCTGATGCACCACCTGTTCCCCCTTACTGTGCCAACCTGCTGTGCTTTAGCCACCCGGCGCTCCGCTCGTTGTTCTGAGCGTCGCTCCTCCATCCTCCGTGTTGTTGGAGGGCGACTGCCTCCAACTGCCAGTAGCATCCTTCACGAGCCTCCTCCACAGAGGCCGATCTTGACACCGCTGGTACCAGTCATCGGCAAGTCCACTCAGCTCCACGTCCTCCTGTACCACATCACTCCATCTCTTCTCTAGCCCGTGCCGCGCCCACTTAGCCCCCTCAATCCGGCCAAACAAAAGCTGTTTCGGCATGCGGGCTACATGACCCAGCCATCGCAGCCCTTGCCTGCCGGAGGAGCTCACCGATGGGACCCTGCCCAGATCTTTCAAGGATTTGGAGCTCCTCACACAATCAGTCTGGTTAAACCCAGGATGGATCGTAGGCAGGCCAGCCTAATGTTTCTAACCGGCGAAGATGTTCCATTAGGGGGGTCCACGTTTCGCAAGCGTAGAGAAGGGAGGGAATGAGCGTGGCCGAGAAGACCTGAAGCTTAGTGCAGAGCGACAGACCAGGTAGCTTCCACACAGCGTTACGCAACCGATGAAAAGATATTGCCGCTCGACTGATTCGGAGTGAGACCTCTGCTGTTAAACTGGAGCCAGTCATAAGCACACTGCCCAGGTATGGGAAACTCTCCACTCTCTCCACAACTGCCCATCACCGATTGGGAGTTGTGGGGGTGGAGTGTCCGATGTACAAAATACCCAGGCAGGTGCTTAGTTTTGGTGGGGCTGATAGTAAGGCCCCACCTCTTAGTGGCACGCTCCAGTCTCAGCAGCAGCGTCTCCAACTCCTCCTCTGACTGAGCAGCTATTACCAAATCATCAGCATACATAACGTGGTTGAGCAATAGGGAGCCATCCCTGACCGCACCCGGGCATCGATCAGCCTCCCATTATATCTGTACCATATGGAGATTCCCCCGGTACAGCTATTGAAGGCTTCACGAACTACGTAGTCAAAATAGATGTTAAATAATGTGGGAGCCAGAGGACATCCCTGTCGCACCCCAAGGTGTACAGGGAATGGCTCTGACTCCCGGCCACGTAGTTTTACCCGGACCCGCTCACCATGATGAAGGTCCTTAATGATCGTGAGCAGAGGGTCAGGTACTCCAAAAGCACGAAGAATGACCCAGAGCCCAGGCCTACTGATGGTATCATAGGCCTTGACCAGGTCAATAAAGCAGAGATGTAGGTCTTGTTGGAATTCCCTACACCTCTGCTGTAGGAGACGGACAGAAAATATGGCATCTGTGCAGGACCCACACACACCCACCCACACACCCACCTACACACCACCCACCCACACACACACCAACCACCCACCCACTCAACCACCTACCCACACACACACACACACACACACACACCACTACCCACACACACCCACCCACACACAACCACCCACCCACTCAACCACCTACCCACACACACACACACCACTACCCACACACACACCACTACCCATCTACCCCACACCCCACCCACACACAACCACCCCACCCACTCAACCACCTACCCACACACACACCCACCCACACACACACCCACCTACCCACACCCACCCACCCACACACCCACCCACACACACACCACTACCCACCCCACCCACCCACACACCCACCCACACACCCACCCACACACACACCCACCCACCCACACACACACAACCACCCAACCACCTACCCACACACACACCTACCCACCTACCAACACACACCTACCCACCTACACACACACCACTACCCACGCACCCACCCACCCACACACCCAACCACCCACCACCCACCCACTCACCGAGCAGCGAGCTCTCCCCATGCCCGACGCTCCACCCCCACCGAGGCCGCCCATCCCAGCCGCGTGCATCATCAGCTGCTGCTGCTGCTGGTGATGCAGCTGCTGCTGCTGCTGTTGATGATGGTGGTGGTGGTAGGAGAGAGGCGGGCCCTCCTCCTCCTCCTCCTCCGCCTAGGCCCAAGCCTCCTCCTCCTCCGCCTAGGCCTCCTCCTCCTCCGCCTAGGCCCAAGCCTCCTCCTCCGCCTAGGCCCAAGCCTCCTCCTCCTCCCTCCTCCGCCTAGGCCCAAGCCTCCTCCTCCTCCTCCGCCTAGGCCCAAGCCTCCTCCTCCTAGGCCTAGGCCCATCCCGAGGCCCCCCCCGCCTCCTCCTCCGCCTCCTCCTCCTCCGCCGAGTTGGCCCGGCTGTCCCCCGCTGGGCAGGTCGGAGCGTGTGTAATCGCGGCTCTTCTCGTTGTTGTACTTGACGTTGAGCGAGGTGAGCTTGGAGAAGCCCACACGGAGGGTACAGCAGCCATTGTAGATGTGCTGGCCGTCCAGCGTCTGGGGGATGGGGAAGGGGAAGGGCCCGGGAGGTAACACGGGCGGCAACGGTACGGTACACGCACAGTGTACACACACACACAGTGTACACACACACACAGTGTACACACACACACAGTGTACACACACACACAGTGTACACACACACACAGTGTACACACACACACAGGGTACACACACACACGGTACACACACAGTACACACACACAGGGTACACACACAGTGTACACACACACACACACAGTGTACACACACACACAGTACACACACACACACAGGGTACACACACACACAGGGTACACACACACACACAGTGTACACACACACAGTAACACACACACAGGGTATACACACACAGTGTACACACACACACAGTGTACACACACACAGTACACACACACAGTGTACACACACACAGTGTACACACACAGTGTACACACACAGTACACACACACACACACAGTACACACACACAGTGTACACACACACAGTGTACACACACACAGTACACACACACACACAGTACACACACACAGTGTACACACACACAGTGTACACACACACAGTGTACACACACACAGTGTACACACACAGTACACACACACACAGTGTACACACACACAGTGTACACACAGACAGTACACACACACACAGTGTACACACACACACAGTGTACAGACAGACAGTACACACACAGACAGTACACACACAGACAGTACACACACAGTGTACACACACACAGTGTACACACACACAGTGTACACACAGACAGTACACACAACAGACAGTACACACACAGTGTACACACACACAGTGTACACACAGACAGTACACACACACAGTACACACACACACAGTGTACACACACACACAGTGTACACACACACACAGGGTACACACACACAGTGTACACACAGACAGTACACACACACACAGTGTACACACACAGTACACACACACAGTGTACACACACACAGTGTACACACACACAGTACACAAACAGTACACACACACACACAGTGTACACACACACACACACAGTGTACACACACACACAGTGTACACACACACAGTACACACACACAGTACACACACACAGTGTACACACACACAGTGTACAAACACACAGTGTACACACACACAGTACACACACAGTACACACACACAGTGTACACACACAGTACACACACACACAGTGTACACACACACAGTGTACACACAGACAGTACACACACACACAGTGTACACACACACACACAGTGTACAGACAGACAGTACACACACAGTGTACACACACACAGTGTACACACACACAGTGTACACACAGACAGTACACACACACACAGTGTACACACACACAGTGTACACACACACAGTGTACACACACACAGTGTACACACAGACAGTACACACACACAGTACACACACACACAGTGTACACACACACACAGTGTACACACACACACAGTGTACACACACACACAGGGTACACACACACAGTGTACACACAGACAGTACACACACACAGTGTACACACACAGTACACACCAACACACACAGTGTACAACACACACAGTGTACACACACACAGTACACAAACAGTGTACACACACACAGTACACACACACAGTACACACACACAGTACACACACACAGTACACACACACAGTACACACACACACACAGTGTACACACACACAGTGTACAGACACACACACACACAGTGTACACACACACACAGTGTACACACACACACAGTGTACAAACACACAGTGTACACACAGACAGCACACACACAGTGTACACACACACAGTACACACACAGTGTACACACACACAGTGTACAGACACACACACACAGTGTACACACACACAGTGTACACACACACACAGTGTACACACACAGTGTACACACACACAGTGTACACACACACACAGTGTACACACACACACAGTGTACACACACACACAGTGTACACACACACACAGGGTACACACACACACAGTGTACACACACACAGTACACACACACACAGTGTACACACACACACAGGGTACACACACACACACAGTGTACACACACACACAGGGTACACACACACACACAGTGTACACACACACAGTACACACACACACAGTGTACACACACACACAGTGTACACACACAGTGTACACACACACACAGTGTACACACACACACAGTGTACACACACACACAGTGTACACACACACAGTGTACACACACACAGTGTACACACACACACAGTGTACACACACACACAGTGTACACACACACACAGAGGGTAGATTGTGCTGTGAGCGTGTGGGAGAAAGTGAGTTTGTGTGGAGTGTGTGAGTGTGAGCGTGTAAAAGTGAGTGTGAGTGTGTGCGAGTGAGTGTGTGTGGAGTGTGTGAGCATGTGCGAGTAAGTGAGCGTGTGAGTGTGTGTGAGCGTGTGTGAGCGAGTGAGTGTGAGTGTGTGTGTGAGTGTATGAGTGAGGGTGAGTGTGTGTGAGTGTAAGTGTGTAAGTGAGTGTTTGTGAGTGTGAGTGTGTTTAAGTTTGTAAGTAAGTGAGTGTTTGTGAGTGTGTGGGGAGCGATAGTGTCGCGGTTAGCGCTACGCTGCGCTATGAACCTGGCGACCCGGTTCGATTCCCGCTCACGGCCAACACCAGTGACGATTATCTGAACCGGTCCCGGGCCTCCCCTAGGTCGACTCAGCCTCAAATGAGTACCTGGTGCGGTGTGTAAACATTGCCACTAGGGAGACAAAGGCGGTCGGGCGTGGTGCTGGCCACCCACCCCCTCGTGTACCGTTCCGGCCTTCATAGGTGCTCGCTAACAGCACTTGCCCCAACAGTCTGTCAAGGCTATATGGGGGATCTTTGTCTTTTGTGTAAGTGTCTGGCAAAACAACCCCCTACCTCCTCGCGGTGCCGGACGGGCAACTCTGTCGTGGACAGTGCTGTGGGGGGAGATCCAATTTTGATTGGCTCCTCCCCTCATGGCATATGTGTCCACCACAGGGGCTAAACGGGGGCTCTGAATGGGTGTGAGGGGCTGGTAACCCCTCCACCTTCAATTAATTACCACGAAACCACGAGTTAAACTGAAATATGTAACAAATAAGCTTGTGCCGGAGGCCCCGGGGGGCCAGGCGTCTATGACGTCTCCTGGCCAAACCCCAATTGGCGGAGCCAGGAGATTGAATCTCTACCCTCGGGGCTACTCCAGAAACAACGAAAAGCCACTACGGGTGGCCACGTGGAATGTTCGAATGCTCACTGCAGAGGAGAGGCTGCCACTCCTCTGTCGGGAGCTGGACCGGTACTGCCTGGATCTATGCGGCATCAGGAGGTCCGGTGGACCGGCTCTGGCTCCTGCCACCATGAGGGGTGGACAGTCCTCTACTCGGGGCAGCAGACTGCCAAACAACAGGGTGTGGGTCTTCTTTTGAACAAAATAATGAAGGGGGCGTGGGAGCGTGGCGGTGAGGTGTGGGAAGCTGTAAGCCCCAGGCTACTTTGGGCTCGCCTTCCCATCAACCGGAGGCGAGGAATGGTGGTCGTGGTTACTTATGCCCCCACCGAAGATGAACATCCGTGGAGGGATGCAGGCAAAGCCGATGAGTCAGATGCCTTCTATGACCTCCTGTCACAGGTGCTGGCTAAAGTGGCCCCTCGGGATAGAGTCATCATGTTGGGTGACTTCAATGCCCGAGTTGGTCATGATACTGGCACCTGGTCTGGAGTGATTGGAGGGCATGGGCCAGATCAGCTCAATAACAACGGTAGGAGGCTGCTAGATTTTTGTGCAGCCCATGAGCTTGTAATTACCAACACGCTGTTTCGGCATCGGCGCATCCACACAACATCATGGATGCATGCCGGGTCCAAGCAAGAACATCTACTGGACTACATAGTGACGGACCAGCGAATGCGAGCCCATGTCCTTGACACCAGGACCTACCGTGGAGCTGATCTGCCCTCTGACCATCGACTAGTCATCTGTAAGATGCGCCTGCCATTCTTCCACTCCAGTGGTGGGTGTACACCCAGGACCCCATTCCAACATAAAGTGGCCTGGTCTCAGTTATCTGATGAAAGTTTGCAAGCGAGAATTTCATCATCGCTTGAGGCTGGGATTGGCATCGTCCCCGACTCCTCCTGATGTCGAGGGTAAATGGGCGAGGTTTAGGACTGTGACTCATGCAGCTGCAATGGCTGCTTTGGGTACGCGGTCCAGACCTCCCCAGAGACCCTGGCTGACAGAGGAGGTGTTCAGGATGGTTGAGAAAAAGCGACAGGCCCACTGTCATAGGCTACAGAATCCCACGTCAGAGAATGAGGAGGCTTACCGCAGCCTTCGCTCGGAGGTTCGGAGAGCCGTGAGGCGCTGCAAGGATGGGTGGTGGTCGCGGGTTGCTGAGGAGATGGAGTCTGCCTCAGTGGCCCGTGATCACAAATCTCTATTTAACTCCATCAAAAAGTAACCTGCAGCGCCACACCTATTACCATCATTAGGGGAAAAAACGGTGATCCAATCTCCGACCCCCAGGAACAGGTTCGTAGATTTGCTGAGCATTTCTGTGAGGTCCTGGGGGAGGGAAAATCCCTCAGCCAGGAAAACATCGTGGCACAAAGTGAGGATGACCCTGCTGAGGCTGCGGTGCCTCAAATATGGAAGAAGTCACCCCCTGTGAGTGGCTGGCTGAGGTGCCATCTGCTGAGGAAGTATTGAAGGCGATCCGGAGTCTGAGACCAGGAAAGGCAGCGGGCAGAGATGATCTCCCAAGCGAAATGCTGAGGGAGGGTTGCGTTTGTGCACAGACTGCCCTATATGACATCATAACAACAGTCTGGACCACTGGACGGGTTCCGCAGGATTGGAAGGATGCCCTGGTGGTCCCCCTTTTTAAGAAGGGGGACCGCACAGACTGTAACAAGACTGTAACAACTACAGGGGCATCTCACTCCTCAGTGTGCCGGGAAAGGTCCTGGCAAGGATTATTCAGCATCGCCTTGCCAGGCACGCTGAGGAGAGGCTTGCGGAGCCCCAATGCGGTTTCAGGAAAGGGCGGTCCTGCACAGATGCCATATTTTCTGTCCGTCTGCTACAGCAGAGGTGTAGGGAATTCCAACAAGACCTACATCTCTGCTTTATTGACCTGGTCAAGGCCTATGATACCATCAGTAGGCCTGGGCTCTGGGTCGTTATTCGTGCTTTTGGAGTACCTGACCCTCTGCTCATGATCATTAAGGACCTTCATGATGGTGAGCGGGCCCGGGTAAAACTACGTGGCCGGGAGTCAGAGCCATTCCCTGTACACCTTGGGGTGCGACAGGGATGTTCTCTAGCTCCCACATTATTTAACATCTATTTTGACCACGTAGTTCGTGAAGCCTTCAATAGCTGTACCGGGGGAATCTCCATATGGTACAGATATAATGGGAGGCTAATCGATGACCGGGTGCGGTCAAGGGATGGCTCCCTATTGCTCAACCACGTTATGTATGCTGATGATTTGGTAATAGCTGCTCAGTCAGAGGAGGAGTTGGAGACGCTGCTGCTGAGACTGGAGCGTGCCACTAAGAGGTGGGGCCTTACCATCAGCCCCACCAAAACTAAGCACCTGCCTGGGTATTTTGTACCATCGGACACTCCACCCCCACAACTCCCAATCGGTGATGGGGCAGTTGTGGAGAGAGTGGAGAGTTTCCCATACCTGGGCAGTGTGCTCATTACTGGCTCCAGTTTAACAGCGGAGGTCTCACTCCGAATCAGTCGAGCGGCAATATCTTTTCATCGGTTTGCGTAACGCTGTGTGGAAGCTACCTGGTCTGTCGCTCCGCACTAAGCTTCAGGTCTTCTCGGCCACGGTCATTCCCTCCCTTCTCTACGCTTGCGAAACGTGGACCCCCCTAGTGGAACATCTTCGCCGGTTAGAAACATTTAGGCTGGCCTGCCTACGATCCATCCTGGGTTTAACCAGACTGGATTGTGTGAGGAGCTCACAAATCCTTGAACAATCTGGGGCAAAGTCCCATCGGTGAGCTCTTCCGGCAGGCAAGGCTGCGATGGCTGGGTCATGTAGCCCGCATGCCCAGCCACCGCATGCCGAAACAGCTTTTGTTTGGCCGGATTGAGGGGGCCTAAGCGGGCGCGGCACGGGCTAGAGAAGAGATGGAGTGATGTGGTACAGGAGGACGTGGAGCTGAGTGGACTTGCCGATGACTGGTACCAGCGGTGTCAAGATCGGCCTCTGTGGAGGAGGCTCGTGAAGGATGCTACTGGGCAGTTGGAGGCAGTCGCCCTCCAACAACAACGGAAGGAGCGACGCTCAGAACAACGAGCGGAGCGCCGGGTGGCTAAAGCACAGCAGGTTGGCACAGTAGGGGGTACAGGTGGTGCATCAGCAAGTCATCTCAGTCAGTCGACCCGTGGCACCTGGGTCTGCCCAGTGACCTCCTGCTAGCGGGCGTTCGACACTTCACGTGGCCTCACGGTGCACATAGCCTGGTACAAGCGTCGTGGTGACGTCACCGCCACTTAGTGGCGAATGGCGGTTGTTGTTGTAAGTGAGTGAGTGTGAGTGAGTGTGTGAGTGTGTGTGAGTGAGTGAATGTGAGTGTGTGTAACTGAGTGTGAGTGAGTGTGAGTGAGTGTGTAAGTGTGTGAGTGAGTGAAGTGAGTCTGAGTGAGTGTGTGAGTGAGTGTAAGTGTGTGAGTGAGTGTATGAGTGAGTGAGTGTATGAGTGAGTCAGTGTGTGTAAGTGAGTGTAAGTGAATGAGTGTAAGTGTGTAAGCGAGTGTAAGTGAGTGAGTGTCACCTGCTTAGCCTGCAGTGCCTGGTGTGGTTCAGCAAACTGCATAAGGCTCTGGAACTGATTGTTCTTCGTGAAGATGATGATTTTGATGACGGAGCCGTACTTAGAGAACAGCTGTGGGAGGGAGGGAGGAACCATAACCACCATCGCCACCACTACTATCACCACCATCACAACTACCGCCTGCATCACCACCGCCACTATTACCACAACTACTATCATCATCACCACCGTCAGCATCACCACAACTACTATCACCATCACCACCACCACCACAACTACTATCATCATCACCACCGTCAGCATCACCACAACTACTATCACCATCACCACCACCACTATCACCACAACTACTATCACCATCACCACCGTCAGCATCACCACAACTACCACCACAACTACTATCACCATCACTACCATCACCATCATCACCACAACTACTATCACACCATCACAACTACCACCAGCATCACAACTAACACCAGCATCACCATCACCACCATCACCACCACCACCCCAACTACCACCACCATCACCACAACTACTATCACCATCATCATCATCACCACCAGCATCACCACCACCATCACCATGACAACTACCACCAGCATCACCACAACTACCACCAGCATCACCACAACTACCACCACCACAACTACCACCACCATCACTGCAACTACTATCACCATCACCACCATCACCATCACCACAACTACCACCAGCATCACCACAACTACCACCACCACAACTACCACCACCATCACTAAAACTACTATCACCATCACCACCATCACCATCACCACAACTACCACCAGCATCACCATCACCACCATCACCACAACTACTATCACCATCACCACAACTACCACCAGCATCACCACCACCATTACCGAGTGAGTACGAGGTAGTAGTGAGTATCTGGTAGTGGTGAGTATCTGGTAGTGGTGAGTATCTGGTAGTGGTGAGTATCTGGTACTGGTGAGTATCTGGTACTGGTGAGTAGCTGGGAGTAGTGAGTATCTGGTAGTAGTGAGTAGCAAGTAGTGAGTATCTGGTAGTGGTGAGTACCTAGTACTGGTGAGTACCTAGTACTGGTGAATACCTGGTACTGGTGAGTACCTAGTACTGGTGAGTACCTGGTGGTGGCGAGTACCTGGTGGTGGTGAGTACCTGGTACTGGTGAGTACGTGGTACTCGTGAGTACCTGGTAGAGTACGTCCAGTGTGACGGAGTAGTGAGGGTTCTCCACTATGATGTGTAGGATGGGCCCAAGGGGCCCTAGTACTGGTGAGTACCTAGTACTGGTGAGTACCTGGTGGTGGCGAGTACCTGGTACTGGTGAGTACCTGGTACTGGTGAGTACCTAGTACTGGTGAGTACCTGGCACTGGTGAGTACCTGGTACCGGTGAGTACCTGGTGGTGGCGAGTACCTGGTACTGGTGAGTACCTGGTGGTGGTGAGTACCTGGTAGAGTACGTCCAGCGTGACGGGGTAGTGAGGGTTCTCCACTATGATGTGCAGGACGGGCCCAAGGGCCATCCCCTCGCCCTGCATCTCGCCTAGGCCCACGCCGTTCACCACCTGGATGGCAGCCTGTGCCTTCTGTGGGGGGGGGGGGTCACGGGGGGGGTCAAAGGTGGGGGAGGGGTCACAGAAGGGTCAAGGGAGAGGTCAAGGGGGGGGGTCACGGGGGGGGGGGGGGTGTTGGGGGGCGGTCGAGCGAACAGCAAAAGGATTGTCACAGTGTGTGTGTCCACGTGTCTCTCCGTGTCTCTCCCCCCACGTGTCTCTCCGTGTCTCTCCACCCCACGTGTCTCTCCCCCCACGTGTCTCTCCGTGTCTCTCCACCCCACGTGCCTCTCCGTGTCTCTCCACCCCACGTGTCTCTCCACCCACGTGTCTCTCCGTGTCTCTCCACCCCACGTGCCTCTCCGTGTCTCTCCACCCCACGTGTCCCTCCACCCCACGTGTCTCTCCGTGTCTCTCCCCTCCCACGTGTCTCTCCCTCCCACGTGTCTCTCCGTGTCTCTCCCTCCCACGTGTCTCTCCCTCCCACGTGTCTCTCCACCCACGTGTCTCTCCGTGTCTCTCCACCCCACGTGTCTCTCCACCCCACGTGTCTCTCCGTGTCTCTCCACCCCATGTGTCTCTCCGTGTCTCTCCACCCCACGTGTCTCTCCACCCCACGTGTCTCTCCGTGTCTCTCCCCCCCCGTGTCTCTCCGTGTCTCTCCACCCCACGTGTCTCTCCACCCACGTGTCTCTCCGTGTCTCTCCACCCCACGTGTCTCTCCGTGTCTCTCCACCCCACGTGTCTCTCCACCCACGTGTCTCTCCGTGTCTCTCCACCCCACGTGTCTCTCCGTGTCTCTCCACCCCACGTGTCTCTCCACCCCACGTGTCTCTCCGTGTCTCTCCCTCCCACGTGTCTCTCCACCCCACGTGTCTCTCCACCCCACGTGTCTCTCCACCCCACGTGTCTCTCCACCCCACGTGTCTCTCCACCCCACGTGTCTCTCCGTGTCTCTCCACCCCACGTGACCCTCCGTGTCTCTACCTCCACGTGTCTCTCCGTGTCTCTCCACCCCACGTGTCTCTCTCTCCGTGTCTCTCCCCCCACGTGTCTCTCTCCCCGTGTCTCTACCCTCCGTGTCTCTCTCCCCGTGTCTCTCCACCCCACGTGTCTCTCTCTCCGTGTCTCTCCCCCCACGTGTCTCTCTCCCCGTGTCTCTACCCTCCGTGTCTCTCTCCCCGTGTCTCTCCCCCCACGTGTCTCTCTCTCTCCGTGTCTCTCCCCCCACGTGTCTCTCTCTCTCCGTGTCTCTCCACCCCACGTGCCCCTCCGTGTCTCTACCTCCACGTGTCTCTCTCTCCGTGTCTCTCCACCCCACGTGTCTCTCTCCGTGTCTCTCCACCCCACGTGTCTCTCCGTGTCTCTACCTCCACGTGTCTCTCTCCCCGTGTCTCTACCCTCCGTGTCTCTCCCCACGTGTCTCTACCCTCCGTGTCTCTCTCCCCGTGTCTCTCCCCCCACGTGTCTCTCTCTCCGTGTCTCTCCCCCCACGTGTCTCTCTCCCCGTGTCTCTACCCTCCGTGTCTCTCTCCCCGTGTCTCTCCCTCCACGTGTCTCTCCGTGTCTCTCCCCCCACGTGTCTCTACCCTCCGTGTCTCTCTCCCCCAGTGTCTCTCCCCCGTGTCTCTCTCCCCACGTGTCTCTCCCCACGTGTCTCTCCCCACGTGTCTCTCACCCCCCGTGTCTCTCCCCCCCACGTATCTCTCCCCCCGTGTCTCTCTCCCCCGTGTCTCTCCCCCGTGTCTCTCCCCCCGCGTCTCTCCCCGTGTCTCTCTCCCCGTGTCTCTACCCTCCGTGTCTCTCTCCCCGTGTCTCTCCCTCCACGTGTCTCTCTCTCCGTGTCTCTACCTTCCGTGTCTCTCCCCCCCGTGTCTTTCTCCCCCAGTGTCTCTCCCCCGTGTCTCTCTCCCCACGTGTCTCTCCCCCCCGTGTCTCTCACCCCCCGTGTCTCTCCCCCGTGTCTCTCCCCCCCACGTATCTCTCCCCCCGTGTCTCTCCCCGTGTCTCTCTCCCCCGTGTCTCTCCCCCGTGTCTCTCCCCACGCGTCGCTCCCCGTGTCTCTCTCCCCGTGTCTCTCCCCCCACGTATCTCTCCCCCCGTGTCTCTCCCCGTGTCTCTCTCCCCCGTGTCTCTCCCCCGTGTCTCTCCCCACGCGTCGCTCCCCGTGTCTCTCTCCCCGTGTCTCTCCCCCCACGTGTCTCTCCCCCCATGTGTCTCCCCCCCCGTGTCTCTCCCCCCGCGTCTCTCCCCATGTCTCTCCCCGTGTCTCTCCCCCCATGTCTCTCCCCCCCCACGTCTCTCCCCCCCCCCCGTGTCTCTCCCCACGTGTCCTCTCCCCCCCCCCGTGTCCTCTCCGTGTCTCTCCACCCGCTGTCTCTCCCCCCACGTGTCTCTCTCTCCCGTGTCTCTCTCCCCTCCATGTCTCTCCACCCACGTGTCTCTCTCCCCCCGTGTCCCTCCCCCCACGTGTCTCCTCACCCACGTGTCTCTCTCCCCGTCTCTCCCAGTGTCTCTCTCTCCCCGTGTCTCTCTCTCCCCTGTGTCTCTCTCCCCGTGTCTCTCCCCCCGTGTCTCTCTCTCCCCGTGTCTCTCTCCCGTGTCTCTCTCTCCCCGTGTCTCTCTCCTCCCGTGTGTCTCTCTCCCCGGTCTCTCTCCCCCACGTGTCTCTCTACTCACGGCTTGATAGGCGGAGGAGTCCTGTGGTGAGTTGACGGTACGTAGAGAACTGAACAAACACCGGCTGTTCACGCAGCATGGGTGGAGCGGACGAGTAGAAGTCACTGCCGTGTCTCTCTCTCCGGTCTCTCTCCCGTGTCTCTCCCCTGTGTCTCTCTCCCCGTTTCTCTCTCCCCCGTGCTCTCTCTCCCCGTGTGTCTTCTCTCCCCGTGTCTCTCTCCCCGTGTCTCTCTCCCCGTGTCTCTCTCCCCCCCACGTGTCTCTCTACTCACGGCTTGATAGGCGGAGGAGTCTGTGGTGAGTTGACGGTACGTAGAGAACTGAACAAACACCAGGCTGTTCACGCAGCATGGGTGGAGCGGACGAGTAGAAGTTCGCCCCCCGTGTCTCTCTCACCCGTGTCTCTCTCCCAGTGTCTCTCTCTCTCACCGTGTCTCTCCCCGTGTCCTCTCTCCCCGGTGTCTCTCTCCCCGTGTCTCTCCCCCCGTGTCTCTCCCCCGTGTCTCTCCCCGTGTGTCTCTCTCCCCCGTGTGTTCTCTCTCCCCGTGTCTCTCTCTTCCCCGTGTGATCTCTCCCCGTGTCTCTCTCCCCGTGTCTCTCTCCCCCCACGTGTCTCTCTACTCACGGCTTTGGTAGGCGGAGGAGTCTGTGGTGAGTTGACGGTACGTAGAGAACTGAACAAACACCGGCTGTTCACGCAGCATGGGTGGAGCGGACGAGTAGAAGTTCGCCCCCCGTGTCTCTCTCCCCGTGTCTCTCTCTCACCGTGTCTCTCTCTCTCCCCGTGTGTCTCCCCCCGTGTCTCTCTCCCCGTGTCTCTCTACTCACGGCTTGATAGGCGGAGGAGTCGGTGGTGAGTTGACGGTACGTAGAGAACTGAACAAACACCGGCTGTTCACGCAGCATGGGTGGAGCGGACGAGTAGAAGTTCACTGCCGTGTCTCTCTCTCCGTGTCTCTCTCCCCGTGTCTCTCTCCCCCGTGTCTCTCTCCCCGTGTGTCTCTCTCCCCGTGTCTCTCTCCCCGTGTGTCTCTCTCCCCGTGTCTCTCCCCCGTGTCTCTCTCCCCGTGTCTCTCTCCCCGTGTGTCTCTCCCCGTGTGTCTCTCTCCCCGTGTCTCTCTCCCCGTGTCTCTGTCTCTCTCTGTCTCCCTGTGTCTGTGTCTCTCTGTGTCTCTCTCCCCGTGTGTCTCTCCCCGTGTGTCTCTCTCCCCGTGTCTCTCTCCCCGTGTCTCTCTCCCCCCCACGTGTCTCTCTACTCACGGCTTGATAGGCGGAGGAGTCTGTGGTGAGTTGACGGTACGTAGAGAACTGAACAAACACCGGCTGTTCACGCAGCATGGGTGGAGCGGACGAGTAGAAGTTCTCCCCCCGTGTCTCTCTCCCCGTGTCTCTCTCCCAGTGTCTCTCTCTCTCACCGTGTCTCTCCCCGTGTCTCTCTCCCCGTGTCTCTCTCCCCGTGTCTCTCCCCCCGTGTCTCTCCCCGTGTGTCTCTCTCCCCGTGTCTCTCTCCCCGTGTCTCTCTCCCCGTGTCTCTCTCCCCGTGTCTCTCTCCCCCCCACGTGTCTCTCTACTCACGGCTTGATAGGCGGAGGAGTCTGTGGTGAGTTGACGGTACGTAGAGAACTGAACAAACACCGGCTGTTCCACGCCAGCCATGGGTGGAGCGGACGAGTAGAAGTTCACAGCCGTGGCGGCGGCGTCCTCCGAGCCCATCTCCAGGAAGGCCTTCGCACGCACACACCACACACACGTGTACACATACACACGTGTACACACACATATACACGTGTACACACACCAGTGTACACACACACACGTGTACACACGTGTACACACGTATAAACACACACGTGTACACACACACACGTGTACACACACCACAAGTGTACACACACACACGTGTACACACGTGTACACACGTATACACACACACGTGTACACACACACGTGTACACACGTATATACACACAACGTGTAAACATACACACACGTGTACACACACACACGTATACACCACACACGTGTACACACACGTGCACACACACGCAATAACACACGTGTACCACGTATACACACACACAACGCACACACACACGTGTACACACACACACACGTGTACACACACACGTGTACACATAGACACACACACGTATACACGTACACACACACGTACACACACACGTACACACACATATACACACACGCACACACATCTACCCACATATACACACGCACACACATATACCACACACACACGTATACACACACAAATACACACACGTATACACGTACACAAATACACACACGATTACACGTACACACACATCAGTATACACACACACGTATACACACGCACATGTACACACACGTATACAGTACACACACACGTATACACACACACGTATATACACACACACGTATACACACACGTATATACACACACACACACCACGTTGTACACATACAACACACGTGTACACACACACGTATACACACACGTGTACGCACACACGTAACACACATATACACAGTATACATACACACACGTGTACACACACACGTGTACACACACACGTATACACACGTGTACACACGTACACACACACGTGTACACACACACGTATACACACGGGTACACACATATACACATGTATACACGTACACACACACGTACACACACATATACACACACGCACACACATATTCACAACACATATACACACACGCACACCACTATACACACACACACGTATACACGCACATGTACACACACGTATACAAGTACACACACACGTACACACACGTATACACACACACGTATATACACACACGTATACCAATACACACACGTTGTACGCACACACGTATACACACACGCACGCACACACGGCAACACCACACATGGGCACATGCACACAAACGAAACACACATACGCACATACACGCACACACACGTAGACACGTAAACACACACACGTAAACACACGCACACACGCAGACACACACAAACGTACACACACATGTAGACACGTACACACACACGTACACACACACACACAGACACGAAACACACACAACCCACAGAACACACACATCAAACGTAGACATACACACGCACACACACACGTACATATAGACACATACACACACGCACACACGTTAAACATACATACATATAGACACGTACACACACGCGCACACACACACGTACATATACACACACACACATAGACACACACACACGTACATATAGTTACACGCACACACACACGTACATATAGACACACACACATAGACACACACACACGTACATATAGTTACACACGCACACACACACACGTACATATACACACCACACACAATAGACACACACACCCACCCACCCACACACGTACATATAGTTACACGCACACACACACGTACATATACACACACACACATAGACACACACACACGTACATATAGTTACACGTACACACACGTACATATAGACACACACACACATATACACACACACGTACATATAGATCACTTACACACACGTACATATAGACACACACACACATAGACACACACACAGCGTACATATAGTTACACGCACACACACGTACATATAGACACACACACACATATACACACACACGTACATATAGATACACTTACACACAGTACATATAGAACACACCACACATATACCACACACAGCACGTAACAATATAGATACACGTACATATAGACACACAACACACATAGACACACACACACGTACCATAGTTACACGCACACACACACGTACATTACACACACACATAGAACACACACGCTACATATAGATACACGTACACACACGTACATATAGACACACGTATACAGACAAAGCTCCCCGTGTAGCCTGTAACCAGGCTGTAGGGCAAGTGCTGTGCTAGCGGTAGCAGGTTCTATGAAGGCTAACGGGCACTGTGGCGTCCACACACAGAGGGGTGGGTGGCCCAGCAGCACCACGCCCGGCGTCTTTGTCTCTCCCCCAGTGCTAGCGATGTCACTACACCACAATACAACACCACCACTACCACCACCACTACACCACTACCACCCTACCACCACACCACCACTACACCCACCACCATTACACCACTACACCCATGGCACAAAGAATTTACTCATATTGAGGCCGAGTCGACCTAGGGGAGGCCGTCACTGTGTGTGGTGTTGGCCGGTGAGCGGGAATCAAACTCGGGTCGCCGGGTTCATAGCGCAGCGTAGCGCTACCTGCTACACTACACACACACAGACAGTGTATACACAGTGTACACACACACACACAGTGTACACACACAGTGTACACACACAGTGTACACACACACGCACACAGACACACACAGTGTACACACACACACAGACACACAGTGTACACACACAGTGTACACACACACACACAGTGTACACACACACACAGTGTACACACACAGCGTACACACACACACAGGGTACACACACACAGTTTACACACACAGTGTACACACACACACACAGGTACACCACATTACACGACACAGTGTACACACACAGTGTTACAACACAGTGTACACACACACAGTGTTACACACACACAGACACACACACAGTGTACCACACACACATACATGCATAGTGTTGGTGGTCTAGTGGTGGTGGTGTAGTGGTGGTGGTGTAGTGCTGGTGGTGTAGTGCTGGTGGTGGTGAGTCTGTAGTAGTGGTGGTGTAGTAGGTGGTGGTGAAGTCTGTAGTAGTGGTGGTGTACTAGTGGTGGTGTAGTAGTGGTGTAGTAGTGCTGGTGTAGTGGTGGTGTAGTAGGTGGTGTAGTAGTGCTGGTGTAGTAGTGCTGGTGTAGTAGTGCTGGTGTGAGTAGTGGTGTAGTGCAGATGTAGTAGTGCTGGTGGTAGTAGAGTGGTGTAGTAGGTGCTGGTGTAGTAGTGGTGTAGTAGTGCTGGTGTAGGTAGTGGTGTAGTAGTGCTGGTGTAAGTAGTGCTGGTGTAGTAGTGCTGGTGTAGTAGTAGTAAGGTGCTGGTGTAGTAGTGGTTGTAGTAGTGCTGGTGTAGTAGTGTGTAAGTGCTGGTGTAGTAGTGCTGGGTGTAGTAGTGCTGGTGTAGTGGGGTGTAGTAGTGGTGGTGTAGTGCTGGTGTAGTATGCTGGTGTAGTAGTAGTAGTGCTGGTGTAGTAGTGTAGTAGTGGTGTAGTAGTGGTGTAGTAGTGGTGTAGTAGTGCCGGTGTAGTAGTGTAGTAGTGGTGTAGTAGTGGTGTAGTAGTGGTGTAGTAGTGCCGGTGTAGTAGTGCTGGTGTAGTAGTGCCGGTGTAGTAGTGCTGGTGTAGTAGTGCTGTAGTAGTGCTGGTGTAGTAGTGGTGTAGTAGTGGTGCTGGTGTAGTAGTGCTGTAGTAGTAGTAGTGCTGGTGTAGTAGTGCTGTAGTAGTAGTGGTGTAGTAGTTGTGCTGGTGTAGTAGTAGTAGTGCTGGTGTAGTAGTGTAGTAGTGGTGTAGTAGTGGTGTAGTAGTGCTGGTGTAGTAGTGGTGTAGTAGTGGTGTAGTAGTAGTGCTGGTGTAGTAGTGTAGTAGTAGTGCTGGTGTAGTAGTAGTGCTGGTGTAGTAGTGCTGGTGTAGTAGTGGTGTAGTAGTGCTGGTGTAGTAGTGGTGTAGTAGTGGTGCTGGTGTAGTAGTGGTGTAGTAGTGGTGCTGGTGTAGTAGTGCTGTAGTAGTAGTAGTGCTGGTGTAGTAGTGCTGTAGTAGTAGTGGTGCTGGTGTGGTGCTGGTGTAGTGCTGGTGGCGAATCTCGCAGCGGCGGGCGCGAGATCGGTATAAAGCGACCGCCTCCGCCACCGCCTCTACCACCGCCTCCACCGCCTCCACCGCCTCTACCACCGCCTCCACCGCCTCTACCACCGCCTCCACCGCCTCTACCACCGCCTCCACCACCGCCTCCACCTCCGCCACCGCCCCCCCCTCCCCCGCTCACCTGATTCTTGCCTTTGAGCATGAGGATGTTGGAGACCCTGCCGAACGGCAGGGCGAGCGAGATCACCTCCGCTTCGCTCACCCCTTCGGGAAGCTTGCGGATGTGCAACACGCGCGAAGGTTCCTCGCCACGCCCGTCGCTCCTCACGCGCTTGCTGTCGCCGCTGTCGCCACCTGCCGCCGGCAGCGCGAGGAAACACACACGGAGAGACAGAGAGAGACAGAGAGAGAGAGCCAGTAACGGCGCTCACCAGCAACGCTCACCACTCACTCACCACTCACTCACTAGCACAGTGCTCACCAGCAACGCTCACCACTCGCTCGCCAGCAACACTCACCACTCACTCGCAACACTCACCACTCACTCGCTAGCAACACTCACCACTCACTCGCAACTCACTCGCTAGCAACACTCACCACTCACTCGCCACTCGCTCACTCACTAGCAACGCTCACCACTCGCTCGCCAGCAACACTCACCAGCAACGCTCACCACTCACTCACCACTCACTCACTAGCACAGTGCTCACCAGCAACGCTCACCACTCGCTCGCCACTCACTCGCCAGCAACGCTCACCACTCGCTCGCTAGCACAACACTCACCAGCACGGCGCTCACCAGCAAGACGCTCACCACTCGCTCGCCAATCACTCACCAGCAACGCCCACCACTCACTCACCAGCAACGCTCACCACTCGCTCGCCACTCACTCGCCAGCAACGCCCACCACTCACTCACCAGCAACGCTCACCACTCGCTCGCCACTCACTCGCTAGCAACGCTCACCACTCACTCGCTAGCACAAGACTCACCAGCACGGCGCTCACCAGCAAGACGCTCACCACTCGCTCGCCACTCACTCACCAGCAACGCTCACCACTCACTCGCCACTCACTCACCAGCAACGCTCACCACTCACTCGCCAGCAACGCTCACCACTCACTCACCAGCAACACTCACCAGCACGGCGCTCACCAGCAACGCTCACCACTCGCTCGCCACTCACTCGCCAGCAACGCTCACCACTCACTCGCTAGCACAACACTCACCAGCACGGCGCTCACCAGCAAGACGCTCACCACTCGCTCGCCACTCACTCACCAGCAACGCCCACCACTCACTCACCAGCAACGCTCACCACTCGCTCGCCACTCACTCGCTAGCAACGCTCACCACTCACTCGCTAGCACAAGACTCACCAGCACGGCGCTCACCAGCAAGACGCTCACCACTCGCTCGCCACTCACTCACCAGCAACGCTCACCACTCACTCGCCACTCACTCACCAGCAACGCTCACCACTCACTCGCCAGCAACGCTCACCACTCACTCGCTAGCACAACACTCACCAGCACGGCGCCCACCAGCAACGCTCACCACTCGCTCGCCACTCACTCGCTAGCACAACACTCACCAGCACGGCGCCCACCAGCAACGCTCACCACTCACTCGCCACTCACTCGCCACTCACTCGCTAGCAACGCCCACCACTCACTCACCAGCAACGCTCACCACTCACTCGCTAGCAACACTCACCGGCAGCACTCACCACTCACTCGCCACTCGCTCACTCACTAGCACAACTCACCACTCGCTCACCAGCAACACTCACTACTCACTCACCACTCACTCACCAGCACGGCGCTCACCAGCAACACTCACCACTCACTCACCAGCACAACACTCACTCACTACCACAACCCTCACCACTCACTCACCAGCACAACACTCACCACTCACTCACTACCACAACACTACACCGCAATTCACTTGACCACAACACTTACACCACTCACTCACTACCACAACACTCACCACTCACTCACCACAGCAACACTCACCACTCACTCACTACCACAACACTCACCACTCACTCACTACCACAACACTCACCACTCACTCAATACCACAACACTCACCACTCACTCACTAGCACAACACTCACCACTCACTCAACCAGCACAACACTCACCACTCACTCACTACCCACAACACTCACCCTCACTCACTACCACAACACTCACCACTCACTCACCAGCACAACACTCACCACTCACTCACCGCACAACACTCACCACTCACTCACTACCACAACACTCACCACTCACTCACCACCACAACACTCAACTCACTCACCCCACACAACTCACCTCACGTCACGTGACCGACAACACTCACCACTCACTCACACCACAACA